GCCTAAAAGTTTATCGGTTTTTCGATATGTATAACAACTGTAGTGGGCTGACCTGCAAACAGGCATCGGCAACAATCGCGAATGCGGCGCACATGTGACAATAAGCAAAGGTCATTATAGATAGAGTTACGATGTACGGGAATGAGTTATCAGCTGTCTAATCGTAGACAACACAATGTCGAACCTTAAACTGTAAGCCTGTATTGGTATTGTTTCTTTTATTTGGCTGTCGAACATTATTTATGGTTTGAAATATGATTTTATGTAAAATAATTCATGTGAAAAAACCGTCTCTTAAGTTATGACCCCATTTCACCACACGCAAGTGGCAGAAATGACAATGATCAGCTGACGCATTTTTCTTGGCCGAAGTCAGAGCGCGCGGCCCGACGCACCACCACCGCACCACAAAGTATGAGCAGAAGCCGCGCCCAAAGCCAGGGCCCCGGTAACGTGAGGTAGCCGAGTCGGGGCAGCGTGCGCTGACCCAAGCCGGGGCCGCGGCTTTGGGCGCGGTCTACCGCATCCCCACGGGCAGCCCCGGGCTATCACATGACACCGGGAGGACGCGCGACCCCGGCTTGGGTCAGCGCACGCTGCCCCGACTCGGCTACCTCACGTTACCGGGGCCCTGGCTTTGGGCGCGGTCTACCGCACCACCTAACAGGCGTGTTCGAAACCGCAGGAGCTGATGATGAACGGGTTTATCGAAACTTGATTGGATGAGCCTATCGGTAATAGCGATTTCAGTGTGTGCATTTATTGTTCATAGTGGTGTGAAATGTGGTTGGGGTACGACCGACAACCCGTCGGGGCGAATTTCGTACTGGGGTACTCAAAATTTGAAGAATTTAAGACGTTTCCATGAGTTTTGAAGGTATGGATAAGTTCTAAAAATCCGGTTCTCCTTATCTGGGCCATTAACTCCATACGGTCCAGGAAAGCTGGCACACTACCTTTAAAGACATATTTGAAAAGATATAAGGAATAACCTTTGCCGACGTGTTGCCTGATGTTTGAACTTTGAGAGTGCTTATTAACCCGCGCCCGGCTGGGGGTCCTGGATTTCCACGCCCTGCTGGGGGGGTGTTTGAACACCCCCCCCCCTTCTAACTCGGCTCCTGGGCCACGTAGCGACACGCGGAAGGCGGCGTTCGAAAGAGCGTCAAAAATAATGAGGAAATCACTTCGGTCAATTTTTTGGTCAGGTCAAAGGTCAGGTCACCAGAGGTCATTGAAGGCAAAATTTCGCCGATTTCAAGGTCGAATGTCGACAATTTCCAAGAAGCCAACGTATAACTCGGGAACCAATAGAGCTACAGCGGCGCGGAAAAGCGCATTCGATAGCCCTATTAACGCCCTTTCTGAGTAATTCTCTCAGATTTGACCTAACGTCAACGGTTTTGCCTGCAGGGGGCAAAAACTGCAAAAATAGCCGATTTTTTCGGAAACAGTTTTTCTGCAATAACTTTTGACTCAAGCCTTGTACGAGCTTACTTTTACCGGCATCGTGTTCCTCTCGTCAAGACGCATCGAATGAACTATAACTTGACCTTGAAAGGTCAACTTGAAAATTTGACCTCAGGTCAAGGTCATGACCTGACCGGAAAGGGTCGTGTTGCATATCAGTCGATCCGTATCGTCGAGCTGAACACATCTAAGGCGTTTTCATCGCTCTAGCATGCCTCTATCAAAAGTTATTTGCGAAAAACTGTTAGATACTATTCGTGACCTTAGATGACCTCAGGGCATAAACAGGGGTCACGGACACCATTTTCATGTTCAGTGTGTCTAAAACACTTGTAATTCAGTGTTTGGGAGTGTTGATAATGTCTTTCGTCCAAAAGAGGCGCATTTGAATTTTCTCCCATTGACTTATAATGGGGAGGTCGCAAAATTGACCTGACCTTAGGTCATCGATATCAAAATTCTGAGATATACATTTTGTACATGCTATTGCTCTTAGCAATCGCTGAAAGTTTCAAAGCAATCGGTCACTCGGTGTAGCTATGACAGACATTGAAACTTTTTATGAGGTGAGGTCACTTCAAGTGACCTGGTGACCTGACCTTGAATGACCTTGGTCTGAAATTTTCACAACATGTGTAGAATTGATGTATGATAAGGTATACCAAAAACGGCGGCGCTCCGCGCCGCCGTTTTTGAGATATTCGCGAAAAACCACAGGGGGGGGGGGGGGGGGTGTTCAAACACCCCCCCAGCAGGGCGCGGGTTAAGTTCCTGATTAAGCATGACTTTCGTCCAAAAGAAGCGCAATTCCATTTTCTTTCGCCGACTTTTCCTTCCCCGGCCAGGGGTAGGGGGCGGGTGCCCCCCCCCCCATTGGGCTTTTTTCGCGATAGCTCGGAACAGCCGGAGATAGAAGCTGACACTATGTACATATGTCATCCTGATCTTTGATTCAAGCCGGATCTTCTGACACCAACCGCATTTTCAGGTCGGGTCAGGTCACTGACCTATGACGTCATAAGTAAACCCCTGCACGGTCCTGAAATGTCGCAACTTCGCATCGCCCTCAGTACAAGAGGAGCTTTTACAGGGAGATGAAACTTACAGGCCCTAGCAGCTAAAAGAAACCTGTATCACAAGTTGTATATCTCAAATGTTTCCTAAGGGTCACCTGCGGTCAGGTCGGCTATGTGATTACAACATTATAAATCAATGGGGGAAATATGGAAACTGTTAGGTATTTTGGCGCCGGCAATGATTTAAAGATATCTCAATCACATGGAATCATGCATTCCTTGCAAGGTCCGATGCTTCACTTTTGCATTGCTGACATTGCGTGACTCACTAAGCGCACAGGAGTTTCTCGTCAATAACTCACGATCAAATTGAGCTAGCGAGTCAGGAAAGCCACCAATGGACTCGGGAAGATGTGCCAAATCGATTATATGCAATATGACCTCCCTCGACCAACTTCGTAACCCGAGGGTCTCTGACCTGACTGTGACCCGAGGTCAACACCTTGTGTTTAATGTTGACCTCACCCGAACAAAAAGTATTCCGTTTCACGCTCCTGAGCCAGACAAACACGGTGATGCCAAAATCGTGGCTCAGCAACCATTTTTTGGTGATGTTATGTACCGAATATCGAGCTCGTGCCCTGGGCCACTTGATCTGATCTCAGAGGTCACCAGTTGACATGTGACCTTAAAATCGGGTACCAATCTCTGCGTCGTAACGGCATGGCTCGTTTCTTCTGCGAGCATTCAGCTTCTAGCTCCATAAGGGGCGAAACAGCGACGGAGGGGGGGGGGGGGAGCAAGATTACTTTACTACTCGGGGGGGGGGGGGTCGTATCTTCCTTCGGCCGGGCCTATGTAAAAACAAAACCAATAGGCATGCACGTAGCCAGGATTTTGCTCAGAGAGGGGCCACAAGTCGCGGCCTAGGGACATAACCCCTCCAAAAACGGAAAACTCCTCGGTTTTGGCCCACTATTTTTGGGGGTGTGGTGCAGCTGTTTTTATTTATCTTTATTTTTTTATTCATTTTTTTATTTTTCGCCTTTAGGGGGGGGGGCATGACCTCCGTGGCCCACCCCCCTTGGCTACTTCCCCGCCAATAGGTCCGGCGAGGGTTAAACCACGCCCCGCTGAGGATGGTGAACCTGCTAGGTGAGGGGGGATGTTTGAACACCTCCCCCCTTATGACTCAGTTCTTTGGCCACGTAGCGACACGCCGTACCTACATGGGCAGCGTTCGAAAGAGCGTCAAAAATATTAAAGAAATTACTTCGGTCACTTTTTTGGTCAGATCAAATGCCGAGTTACCAGAAGTCATCGACGTTAAAATTCCACAAATTTCGAGGTCAAGTTTCCACAATTTTCGACAGAACGGCATAAAGCTCAGGAACGGAGAGAGCAACAGCGTCGCGGAAAAACGCATTCGATGGGTAGATCTTAACTCTCGCCGGCCGAATGGGGGGGGGGGGGAGGCGGATGCCGCCCCATAGTTTTTTTTTCGTGATAGCTCGGAACGCGCCGGCGATAGAAAGCTGAAACTTGAGATACTATTAAAGCCGGATCTTTTGACACCAACTGCATTTTCAGGTCAGGTCCGGTCACTGACCTATGACGTCATAAGTTAACTTCTACACGGTCCTGAAATGCCGCAACTTACAGGGAGATAAAGCTTACAGGATCTGGTACCCTTGAGAGGTCTCACAACTTCTATATCTCGGATTTTCCCTAAAGGTCACATGAGGTCAGGTCGGTCGCGTGACCTAAACAAAGTCAATGAGGGAAATATGGAAACTGTTATTATAGCGCCGGGAATGATATCAAAGAAGTTAAAGGCATGTTATCGAAAATCACCGATAGAACGTTTTGTCTTTCACAAAAGTTGCTAAATGAGGTCAATGCCTACCAGAATTTTAGCCGTTTGATCCTAAGCGAAGGATGAACGGAAGTGTTTTTAGCGTACTTAAAATGACCGAAAATTTAGCATTTTTAGCATTTAATAACGACCGCCCCAGGAAGCACCGAACATCTTCACTGATTCATTCATAGGAGCACGGCCGGCCAGGGCTTCCATTTACCGCACGGTCATGTTTTCGCGTCATGTTTAATACAGACAACAATACGTACCAAAGGCATGGAAATAGACCAGGGATTGAGGCGACGTACCATCTTGTATTTTCCATCAATATTGCAGCCTTACACATTGCGCAGCCCGCTCAACATAAAAGCAGCGAAATTATTAGGTAGGTATCTGAGTAACCTGAGAGCCAGCGTTGTTACGATCCGTAACAGTGCTGTATCATATCGTAATATATCGCAAGCAGAATTCATGCGCGCATATCTATACAGTATACATGTTATGATCTTTGATACCTTGCATTGTGTTCTAAAGCAAGCCTCGTAGGCTTCCGATGCGAGTTGCAGGTAGAAGCAGACATTTCTCGTTTACATGAGACGCCGCTGATTTAGATCCGCCAGTGGTGTCGGAAGTGTAACACATACAAAGATGATGGGCTGAGTCAGATCTATATTTTGATCTTTGGCATTTAACATTGCGCTCACAACAGATCTTCGTGACTTTCTATCCAGACACCATGTACGTAGCGTAGAGGATACAACAAAAATAAACTGAACATAACGGCTAACATACTGAACTGAATAAAATACCACAGATAACGCAGCGTATGCATTTAGTGCTGCTCCTCACCCTACCGCCATCTACCGACCCTAAACCTGTGGCATAAGCGACGCCTGGCGGACATAACATAGACGATGCTGAATATAGACAATGTTGCGCACAACACCTCACATTCGTTATCTTACAGTTAAGTCTTCTTCAATACTCTACGTTTTCCTCGTGTTTAAACTCCTTATCACCACTAGACAACATTCAGTGAAAATAAAATACTGGCACCATCGATATGGTGCTGGGAGAAGGGCGGTAGCGGACGGCCAAACGTCACTGACTGTCGGACAAACTGTCTTGACAGTCGGCCAGTTGCTCATAGCCCTCGCCTCGCATTATGGTCAGTCAAGTGCTACACGCCATAAGCATGGTTTGGCAGGAGCGATTGTTCTTAGTGCAGTCTGGTCCACAGGGCCTGATCGTCACACATGGATGCTGGACGTTCGCCACTAATTTGAGAGGATATCCCCCCTATCTAACTACCTACAGACGTTCCAAATGCGCGCTGTATGACAGCCAAGATTCAGACGACGGAGACATGCCTAAGCCAACTAGACACCTAAATACCTGAAAAGGGACCTTGTCAACTGATATCGCTAGACAAGGTAGACAATGACCGATAGACATCGCTTTGTAGCCCGGCACACGCTGCTATGGATAATCAGGTAAGCCCATTGACACCGTATACCCGCTTGGCATTAGGCGGAAGCCGTGGGTGGTGATCGGTAGCGCCGTCTATCTCCGGGTCCGAGATAGCCGCTCACCACTCATAGCGACAGCACTGCTACACTGCCGTGAGGTCCGCGAGTCGGGTCGGACTCACCGCGACGGCTACACAGGTGTTCAACTCACGGCGTCTCCTACACGGCTGTAAACTCTGTGAGCCGGCCACTCTCGGGGCAGGGGCTAATCTCATGACTCCGGCGACACAGATGTGCGACTCGAGGCGCCCTCTACACGGCTGTCTGGTGACTGTGAGCCGGCCAAACTCACGGCACGGACTTATCTCCCGCGTCGGCCACACAGCTGTTCAACTCACGGCGTCTCCTACACGGCTGTGTTGTCTGTAAGCTGGCCCGACTCACGGCACTGATTACACAGCTGCGATGTCCGCGAGCCGACCCAACTCACGACACGGGCTAAACTCACGGCTCCGGCTATACCGCTAACAAACACACGGCCCCTCCTACACGGCTGTGATGTCTGTGAGCCGCACCTGACCGACGTCCACGGTCGGTGGAGAGGGCGGCAGGAGCTCGGAGGACGCCGTGGGACCGTCGGCGTTGCCCACGGGTCCGGCCGGCGCTGGCGTCTCTTGTTTGGCAGGGAAGCGCACCTTCTTGGGGCCGCGGAACCGGCGCGTCGACTGGTCGTTGAGGCTCAGACGACTGCCGGCCACCTCGTCTTCCAGCATCTCGGTCTGCTCGCCGGCGAACCTGGGGGTCAGTGCGGATAGAACATCGGCAGTTAGCTCCGGTATACATAGCTCCAGTGTATAAGGTTATCAGCTGACACACACGGTACTGAATGCGAGCACAGACACACGGTAACTCAGACCAAGGAAACAACGCACAAGACCCAGTTGAACAGTGTTCAGCCAGCTGACCCTAAAAAGCCACATCACGTAAAGGCTGCACTCGTAATCGACGAAAAGCCAGTCCAGTACAGACATACTGTTCTCAACACAAACAAATAGCGCATGGGAATGTAAAATCGGCATTTTCAGCTGCAAATAGTGAAATGTCAATCCGATGGCATCGCAACTAACACTTATCCCTTGGCCACTAGCAAACATGGACCAAAGCGAGTTCAATGACGGCAGTTTAGTTTGAAGTGCTACCTGCTACAAATAAAACTTTTTGAAACTTTTTGATCAAAACAGTTTAGATCTTTTTAGAATAAACATTGTTGTCGGGTTATAGAGCTAGTAGTCAGGTTGGAAAATTTGCATGCTTTGAGCCCCTCTGATACTTTTTTATGCAGATCTCCTGAAATTTAATCATCTCTCAGCTGAGGATAACAATGACGTTACCATACGTAATTTGAGCTCAATTCAACTGAGGTCGACTCTGAAATATCTAACAGACACACAGACCATCGGAAACTTACCTGACAAACACCTCGTCGAGCGTTGTCTGGTTGAGGGAGTAGTCCTCGACGAGTCGCTCGGCTCTCAGTCCCTCGAGCAGCTGGAACACGCCGGCCAGCCGCAGGTCCACGGACGGCAGCTGGTAGGAGACCTGCGAGTGGTGCTTCTCGCGCACCTCGCCCTGCGGCAGACTCTCCTGGAGACGGCGCTCCACGGCCGCCAGCTGACCCGGGTGCGCGCGCAGCGTCACCGTGTACCCGTCACCGAACCGGCTCTTCAGGTGCTGCAGGCTGCCCAGACACTTGAACTGGCCGTTGACCATGATGGCCAGTCGGGTGCAGAGCGCCTCGCACTCCTCCATGCTGTGTGAGGTGAGCACCACCGAGCAGCCCTGGCGCACCATGTCCGAGACGCAGGTCCAGAGCAGGCGGCGCGCCGCCGGGTCCATGCCGCTGGTCGGCTCGTCCAGGAACACCAGCGGCGGGTCGCCGATCAGCGCAATGGCCGTCGACAGCTTGCGCTTGTTGCCGCCCGAGTAACTCCCGGCAGTGCGGTCGGCGTGCGGCGACAGACCCAGCCGGCGGATGTTGGTCTCTACCACGTGTGCCAGGCAGTCCGCAGGCACTCCGCGCAGTCGGGCGTAGAACTCGATGTGCTCGCGGCCCGTGAGGAGCGAGTCGAGCGCGTCAAACTGCGGACAGTAGCCGATCTGCTGACGCACACGCACCGGGTCGTCGATGACGCTGCGGCCGCAGATGAAGGCATCACCGTAGCTGATTGTTGTGTCGCCAGTCAACATTTTGAAAGTGGACGTCTTGCCGGCACCGTTAACGCCCAGAAGACCAAAGCACTCGCCGCGTCGCACACCCAGACAGAGGTGGTTGACGGCTGGAAGTCGTCCCTTCTTGTAGACCTTGGTCAGGTTAAACACGCGTAGTATGTCCTTGTCGGCACGTCCGCTGAGCACGCGTTGTCGCTCTCTCTGCACATCAACGTCCATGTCGTCTGTTGATATCGGCGCCATAGGCATGAGCTGTCGGCGCCGGCAGCCGGGACGGTATTCGATCAGCAAGGTCAGCAGGAAGGCTAGCACGCCTTGGATAAGCATGCAAAACAGATTCCGACCCAAGAACGTCCACTCGAAAAGGTCACGTTTCGCGGAAAATCCAAATTCCGCTAGCGTGTCGGCTCTCAGCTGGTTAGCGGCCATGTCCATCAGACCGCGGCCTAGACAGTAGTGTGGGAAAACCAGGAACACTTTCTTTAATATCTCTGCGATCATCTGCAGCTGTTCGTCGTTGAGTATTTCCAGCACAAACGTGGCAATCGTGGTGACTATCCCGATGAAGAGGTTAGCACACGCGAGGGTGACGAACGCTGACGCAGGCACAGTGAATATGAAGCTGGCGGGATACATGAGCGGGATGCTTGACCAGCCGTACAGCACCAGCAACAGCAACAGACCTGGCAGGTTTCTCTCAGAAACGTACGCCTCTTCGCCGAAGGCCAAGAAGATCGCAACACACAGTCCAGCTGATATCAAGTAGTTGAACATGTCCCACATGTACTCAGCCACCCAATACACTATTGGCCGTACGCCAGACACAAACTGTAAGTGTTTTGCCTTGCACTGACGTTCTTCGATCAGGAACAGCGTGAACGATGCTGGCACGAAGCTCAGCGCAAAGATGACGCAGATGGCATGCAGGAGGCTGATTCCGGACTGCTTGCTGAGTTCACGACGTAGCTGGCCGCGGGTGAAGTTCAGCGGGTGGTTGATGGCTTCGATGCCGTACCAGCGTTTTACTGACGAGTTGAAGCGAGACCGCAACAACATGTTGTTGAATGCGTTCATATAAGCAACGGACGAGGCCCAGCCCTTGTTGTTGTACCATATCTTCACGTTGTCCAGAATCTCAGAGTTTTTGGCAAAGTCCTCCAGTTTGTCAAAGGCATCATCTGCTAGACCAAACGGCACATAGGTGAAGTTATCTGTTTGCCCATCTGTATCATTCAGTGATATATCGTATGTCTGGTTTCTAAGCTGGTCATCGGTGACATTGAGTAGTGCATCTCTTCCAACACCCAGCAATGCCTCTCCAATCCTTCGCACTGCTGCTCGGTACCTGCTGAAGTTTGCTGTTGCGAACGGGTTGTTGTACCCAAACGTGAATCCACCCCAGCGGGTCTTGTAGAACTCGGGTCGCGATTTCACCAGCCAATCACTGACATTGCGATCTGTGACGTTCAATAGCAGCTCGCCTCCCGCCCCGGGTGCCTGCGCCGGTGCCGGCCCGGTGGCGCCTGACGGACACTCCATACTTCCAGTGGCGCATGAGCACTCAGCAGTTCGCACCGGTTTTCCTATTGCTGCATAGAACTGCGTACGAGCTGGCGGATTGCCGCATGTCGCGTTCTCTCGAACACATTTCGTTCCGATGCCCGGAAAGCCGATCAGCTCATCTTCATATCGTCGCGCCAGAGATGACTCGATGTGATCGTTTGCAAAGAAGACATAGAACGGTGGCTCATAAACCCACGGAGACAGTTCCAGGGGCGGCTCCTCTTCCAGGGGAGGCAGGATCAGAGTGAAGAGCATCGACAAACACACGAAGAACGCCGGCAAGATTATCTCGCAGAAGAGACCCTTGACGTTGCGCCGACAGTGATTGAATCGTTTGACGTGAAGAGCACACACGTGGCGAGCCCACAGCGGGGTGGTATAACCCGCGCCCCTCGCAGCCAGCTTGGCGGTAACCGCGCTTCGTGGCGGCGCTGGGCTCACTTTGGGAGGTGTAACTGGCGTGGGCGCTTCATCGTCGGAGAAGTTGGCGGTTGTCTGTGCCGCAAAAGAGCCGGAGTGACGACGCGTGTCAACCCCTTGCTCCTGTGAACCAGCCGGCGTGTTGAGCAGCGACAGCGAGTGACGTCGGAGATCACCAGTGCGTAAGCGCGTGGGATACTTTCCACCATCGGTGATGCTGCTGATCTGCTGACTGAGCACGCGCTCACTCAGTCGGCTCCCGTCGTCGGCCAGTCTCAGGAAGATCTCCTCTAGAGAGGTGTCTGACAAACCGTAACTGGTGATGCCGAGGCGAGTCAAGTTGTCGTCGAGCGCTTCCAGAAGACGCTCCAGCCGCTCGGCAAGGCGCTGGTCGTTAGGAAGAACGTATGTCAGCTCTGTGCCGAAATTTTCCAATAGATATGCGCGCCGAACGTACTCCTGAATGAAGCGAGTGACCTGTTCTTGATCCGGGCCGCTCGCACGTCGGTTACGATCAGCAGATGTGGTTTGCATGGTTTCAACACTTCGTGACGGATCGCCGGCAGGTTCACCGGGCCCATCCGGGACCTCAGTGTCCGAGCTGATACGCAGCGTCACCTGACTCTCCTGGAAACGTGCCAGGGTGAGGTAGTATCCCGAGCCGAAGTTGCTCTTGAGGAAGAGGCTTGAGCCACAGCACTGAAGTTGACCTTGTGCAATGATGGCGATCCTGTCACCGAGAATGTCTGCCTCGTCCATGAAGTGGGTGGTGAGGATGATGGTGCGGCCCGATTTGTACTTCATGAGTAGCTCCCAGATTGACCGACGAGAGTACGGATCCACACCGGACGTGGGCTCGTCTAGGATGACCGTGCGCGAGCCACCCACAAAGGCGACAGCGATGGACAGCTTCCTCTGCATACCACCTGAGAGGTTTTTGGACAGCTCGTCTCGCTTATGCGGTAGGCCAAGATCTTCAATCATACGATCGCTCTCCTCATCGACTTCAGCCGGTAGACGACCCTTGAGACGCGCGTAAAACCAGATGTGCTCAGCGACAGTTAGTTCATCGAATAGTGTATTGTGCTGCGGACAAATGCCAAGACTCTGACGAATCTGGTCCATCTCCGTGCGTATGTCAAAATTGTATATTTTGGCAGTCCCCTTTGTTGGTGGAAACAGACCGATCAGTATTGAGATGGTGGTCGTTTTTCCAGCACCGTTATGACCAAGGAACGATGTGATCTGACCTTCGTAGAAGTTTAGGGACATATCTTCTACTGCCACTTTTCCGTTTGCGTATACTTTGCGAAGATGCTGAACGGCTACGCCGAGAGGCAGGTTCGTCGGTTCCGCTTCAAACTTGTCATTTCCCGTGCTGTCCGTCAGTGGCACGGATTCTTTATCAGGTATTGTATGAGGCTCTACACCGCACCAGTAGGATCGCATGAATGGGAAGAACCACGGCCGTGGTATGCCAAACTGGCCTGGGAAAACTGCTTCGATGTACCAGGTAAGCAGGCCGTACAGGAAACTGTCGAGCAGCAGCACGAACATACTCTGCAAGAGGCTGAACTCGTCTCCCACGATCGGACTCTTGTCGATGGTCGACCACTGGATGCCAACTCCACGCTCTTCGTAGTGTGCAAAGTAGGAACATCCGAAACCGAACGCGACGTTAGACAGTAAGCTTCCTAGCAGCTTATGCAGGTAATCAAGGTGCTCGTCCCAAATGATGAGGAATGGATATGGCAGATAGGAGATAAAGTAGAGAATTCCACCAGCCGCTGCTGCCAGGTTTGCTTTGGAAAACAGAGTAGACAGCAAAAAGCTTAACGTGATGGTGGCCATGGTGAAGCACAGTAAGAATAGGAAGACTATGAATGGGTCCGAATTTTCTAGCACTTTTCCGTACACGAGGACGATGGTAAGTAGCACGTCGCTGACAACCATTGAGGAGAAACTGGTCAGGAACCATCCCAGCCAGTGCACTCCGTTACTCAGTCCAAGGATTCGCATCACTTCTTTCAGTCGCTGCTCCTTCTCGTACACAATAGACTTGACAATCATTGCTGAGGTGTAGACCCAAGCTAGCACCATGAACAATGGGAAAGTCCGTGAGATTGCCAGCACAAATTGATCATCGATGAAGCATGGGTACGGCATCTGATGAAGGTACACTCCAGTTTTCACCTCTTCGCCTGTCAATTCTTCAACAATACTGTGCTCTAAAATATCCTGCATGTATGCAAAACCATAGGTGATGTACTTCAGATCTTGGTAGGGCCACTGTCTAGGCCCCATTCGTGTCATTCTGTCCATGATATGCTTCGTTGAATCAACACGATCGCCGTCAACGCGTATTTTATATCGCACGTAGGTGGGCATTGTTTCTGCGCCTGGCTCTATGTCCATGAACACGACACCGGCCCAGAGCATGTTCTCCGCTGTCAGGTTACTGCTTCGTCTCACCAAAGCGTGCTCGTCCGACAAACCTTCGAGCTTGTTCAGCTCAAAACAAGCCAAGTAGACGCTGGCGTTCACTGCCACTTCATCTGCTGTGTCAAACAGCTGTGACCAGCGTTCCTCGGATCCAGGACCAATCAGGAGCGATAAGCGCTTTGTCAGGGAGTTCAAAGTTTTGTTATTGGTAGGCACAGGTAACAGAGGCAAGGATTGGAAGGCGCCCCAGCTCTCCGCCTGACGCCACACCGCCTGAAAACTGTCCAGTCGCCGCACTATGGATAACACACGCTGTCTGTACCACCACGAGCGATCCGGCCACTCCTCCATGAACTTCAGTGTTTGTCGCACCGGCTCAAACGTAGCATTCACGCGCGTCATGACACGCTTTGTCACAGGTGTATCTGGGGCGAAAAGAATTTTACCTCGTACAAATGGCTTCACTGTCCGCCAGAAGAACTTTGTCATCCAGTTGCTGTCCAAACTGTGGAAGAGTTCGTTACACTCATCCGAAATGGATGTGTCATTTGAGAACTCCTGTTCTGGCATCTCGTCCATTTTGTCTTTGATAGCGTTGATGGGTGCCAGGCGTCGTTGTCTGCCACTGGGCATGGCCATGCGGGCGTAGTCCACGCCACACACAGCGCCCTGGAACCTCATCGCGAGCAGCATCGGCTGGCTGATGTTCATCGGCTCGCCGGTAACGTTCAGCGTGCTCTCTGGCTCGTCCAGGTTGACGGCTTCCGTCAGTTCAGAGACGTGCTCCAAGAGCCGGGAGAACGTGTCCAGTTCCCGCAGATCTTCAGACACCTGGCGACCGAGTCTGAGCACGGCTAGCCAGTCATCGGGCCGCAGTGCGCCGCCGCCGGACTGACGCACTACGCGGCCCAGCAGACGCAGCACCCTACGCCGTTCGACCAGCGCAATCAGCCGACCGAGCAGAGCCTGCTGATCGGCCACGGGCAGCGCACAGATCTCCCGCACCATCGCCGAAGTGGTGGCCTCAGCCGGGGACCGCAGAAGGTCGGAGAAAAAGCCGGAGTCGCAAAGAAGTCCGTCCGCTCCTGGCAGCGCCAACAAAAGACCGAGGCGATTCACGATTTCTGGCAGCTGTGCAAGAGGTACGGACGCTCCTAGAAGCTGTGTGCGTGCCCAGCGGCCGTTACCGATGCCGAACTCCTTCAGTAAGGCGTGGTACGCAGTCTTGTTGGTGATAACATCGCCGAGGCTGATGGAGCCGCGCAGCTCTGCTTGACCGGCCCACAGCCGCAAGCCAAGCTCCCGTAGCGAGGCCAGGTCGGTGGCGAAGTGACGCACGCTGCGCGCTGTCGACCGGTTGACGCGGAGCTCGAGTACAGCACCCACGTCATCCAGCAGTCGTGTCAGCAAGGCCTCTTTGTAGATCGCTGACGTTTCGGGAGGCACACGCTCGTGGCATGTGTTGTTGAATGTGCAAACAAAGCCACGAAGAAACTGCACTGGACCCGCTGATAGCATCGGCTTCGGTTCGAAGTGACATTCGTGCATGTTGAACTTGAGACCTCGGCTGCGTACCCACATCAGGATCAGAAATAGAAACATTGGCCAGAGGAGTTCGATCACCATGCGCACCTTTTGGCGCCGACGAAGAGTGAAATTTTTCCATAGAAGCAGTTTCAACTGAAGGAGCAGACCCATGGTGGCGGTGCCGAATGTGTTGGCTGAAGATAAGTGTCACGGCGTTTTAGAGTTGCGGGAGCATTGTCTTGATTTTAGACGCGATGACCAGCGCCGGCGATCGCACCTGTTGAAGACAGCATCGCGTTAATTGAAAGTTCTCAGAAACGTAACAATTTTTACGTATTTTGAGGGATTTATTAAAAAAAAGGCTATTTCAAAACGTACAGAGGGCAACAAGACGAGAAAAGGCCGTTATGAGATAAAATTGTCATCACAGACTTCATAGCTCCACAATGGCGCAATAGAACAAAACCTTCACATTTCGTCGCCCTATGGTCAATTATGCGTAAAAGCACGCGTGCTCTATCAATAGCCACTCCCTTTTCTAGGCAATGCAGTCACGCAACACGGCGGAGGAATGCTTGCATTCGGAAGAAAAAATACAACTATTTCAAGGTTCATTGAAAGGCAACTTACTTATAAATTTAAAGGATTTTTTATTGACATTTTATTGAACCATCGTTCACCAGTGAGAACTGAGAAGTACTAATGAGAAAGTTAGGTGACGAGTTTTGCTCGAAAAATAATAAAACAATAAAACGAATTGGGAAATCAAACTGTAACGTACGTCGATACGTGCTTGCGTTGGAATCAAAAATATACTTATATGAATCCCCCACCAACGACAAGCATTCCCCCTCAACTGCTAGCTAGACACGACATGCCTGCTCTGGTTAAAACGGACACGAATTTGTTTTGGGGATACAAGAGCCCGGTTATTCTGCGGCTGCGACGCGGCGCTCTCGCCGACGACAGAGGGACACTTATTCAATCTTCGTTCGTACTCGAGCCAGTAGGCGTGGATTGAATCGTCCTTGAGTTTCTATCCAGGGGAGATTCTGTCATGAGAATCACCATCCAAATTAATGGTGATAATACTTGCACCTAGCTCATGGCCAAAGGCTTGAGTTGAGTTTGTATGAGCAACGGTCATCCCGTCTGCAACGTAACTATGATATCCCCACTCCCCGGGGGAGTGGGGATATCATAGTTACGTGACCTGAGGACCTGAGGTCCTCAGGTCACGTGACCTCGAGGTCATCATGAATATCATTCGATGCGTCTTGACGAGCTGAACACAATGAGACCATCCACGCGTCTGTATCTTGTTCCTGTAAGGAGTTATTGGCCAAAAGTCTTTGGTGCGCCGCGGTTTTCCCGCTATTCGCGAAAAACCTCAGGGGGGGGGGGGGGGGATATCCGCCCCCCCGTCGGTGCGCGGGTTAAGGAAATACCTAAACATGGGTGTCCGTTTCCGCCAAGTCGGGGGTGCCTGAGCTCTCCAAATTCCCCGCCGGCTCGGCCGGCTTGCCTTTGGAGCCTCAACAGACCGCGCGGATCAAGTGTAATCTATGAGAATGACTTCAGTCTTCAAACCTAAAATCGATACCGATATATTTGGCTAGGGTGATCGTTGGGCCATAAAAGCTCCTGATTTGTTCTCGTCTCAGCTCAAGCTACAAAATTGTTACCTCAGTTCAAAACCCTATGTTAAAAGTGGCATATTTGCTTTAACCCTATTAGTGGCAGGGGGGGGGGTTGTTTTTATCCACCCCTCAGGTTTTTCGGGAATATCTCCGAAAGCGCTGAAGCTACGATGCTGAAATTTTCTGACTTTTCCTAAAACTAAATTGGGCACATTCCCTGAAAATTTCAAGTTCATAACTTTACCAGGGGCGGCTCCAGAGCACTGGGAATTGGGGGGTCCTATTCGTGAAGCGAGTCATTTGGGCGAAGATCACGATGCTGCACCAGTTTTACGAACAGCGAATGAAAGGTATCATGTGATAACATATACAAAGTTTTTGTGCATCCTCTTTTGACACGTTTTTGCTATAATAGGCGGATCCAGGCGTCCAAAAAGGGGGGTTATTTTTTACCTCCCAACATAGGTGCCCTGACACCGCCTATGCATGACCAATACAATTGTAGTCGTTGGCCTCGTTTCATAAAGCGAGTCCGTAACTTACGTCAATTTTTGGGCTTGTATTACAAGCGCATGTGAAGCGATAAATTCATTTCTCCTTCTGCCTTCTGTTCTTCCTTGGAAGATAAATAAATTCAACGATTCAAACTATCGCCATCGCTTCACATGCACTTGCAATACAAGACCAAAAAACGGCGTAAGTTACGGAATCGCTTTGTGAAACGAGGCCGTTCTCTCATAAGAAAATTGTAACATAACAAGACCATTGCCACCCTTTTTTTTAGAAACAGTACCAACAAAAACCTTATTTACTATACTTTTTGTGTACCCCCAATCTCAATGATCTGTATCCGCCTATGATTTTTGAAAATGCATATTTTTAGGATCCATGTGAATTCCTGGTTCATTCTCTATCGATCGGCAAAAGTTGCGTTAAGATTGGTTCAGAAATCTGGCCGTGATAAACAGTCTAAAATGTATCTGCAATTTGCCCGTTTTTACCCCCATCTACCCCCTATTGACATTTTTTTTTAGAAATGTAGATCTCGTTGATCGAAATCGAATGCCGTTTGAATTTTGAAAATCGGCCCGTTAGATCTCGAGATATCAAGGGGGGGGGGGGGTCGTAAACAGCCCCCCCTGCCACTAATAGGGGTAGCCAGGAGCCTGCCACTAATAGGGTTAAACGTTGAATGCATCCGACCGAAAAACCCACGGTAAGAATGTCTACTTTTGGGTTTTCAGTCGGTCAGTCCGTCCCCCCCAGTCAAAAATCCGCGGCGGCGCCCCTGAGTCTCCCCCTAAAATGATAGTCCAATGGTTCAACAAAGGTTTAATTTCTTATTCTTTTACAAACGTCGCTTGTTCATTGCCGCTATGCGGCCCAGGACCTTACTTAGAAGGGAAAGTATCAACGCGCCCTCTCCATGGGTGTAGGAGCGCCAAAAATATTGGTGAAGGATGCCACCTGAACCTTATGAAAAGGGACAGGACCGTGCCAACCAACACGCACAGTGCAAGCGGGGGGGGGGGGGGGGCGAATTTCGCCAACCCCTTGTTTTTCGCAGATATCTTACGCCCTTATCATCCCATTAACGTCAAATTTTCAATGCCTGCCTAAAATTGAATTGTGCATCTTGCCATGACAGCAAGATGTAAATCAGGGCCTCGGCTAAGGAATTTTGACTACTGGGGCAAATGGTCAAAGTGTGTTAACCTGCGCCCTGCTGGGAGGGGGGGGGGGGAGGTTTTTGAACACCCCCCCCCCTGCGGTTTTTCGCGGATATCTGAAAAAAACGGCGGCACCTTATCATCTATCAATTTTATACATTTTGTGAAAATTTCAGACCAGGGTCCTTCAAGGTCAGGTCACCAGGTCGCTACAAGTGACCTCACCTCATAAACACATCATAAAATGTTTCAATGTATGCCATAGCTACACCAAGTGACGGATCGCTTTGAAGCTTTCAGCAATTGATAAGTGCAACAGTATGTACAAAATTCGGAATTTTCATATCGGTGACCTAAGGTCGGGTCAATTTTGCGACCTCTCTAGGTATTATAAGTCAATGGGAGAAAATTCAAAACCGTCTTTCTCGGACGAAAGTCATTCTAAACACTCTCAAACACTAAATTACAAGTAACTTTGACACACTGAACATGAAAACGGCACCCGTGACCCCTGTTTATGCCCCTAAGGTCATCTCAGGTCACGAATGGTATCTAACAGTTTTTTGCTACTAACTTTTGAAAGAGGCATGCTAGAGCGATGAAAACGCCTTATATATGTTCAGCTCGACGATACAGATCCACTAATATGCAACATGACAATGTCCGGTCAAATCATGACCTTGACCAGAGGTCAAATTTTTAAGTTGAACTTTCAGTGTCAAATTATAGTTCATTCGATGCGTCTTGACAAGAGGAACACGATGTCGGTAAAAGAATGCTCGTGCAAGGCTTGAGTCAAAAGTTATTGCAGAAAAACTGTTCCCGAAAAATCGTCTATTTTGGCAGTTTTTGCCCTCTGCAGGCAAAACCGTTGACGTTAGGTCAATTCTGAGAGAATTACTCAGAAAGGGCGTTAATAGGGCTATCGAATGCGCTTTTCCGCGGCGCTGTAGCTCTATTGGTTCCCGAGTTATGCGTTGGCTTCTCGGAAATTGTCGACATTCGACCTGGAAATCGGCGAAATTTTGCCTTCAATGACCTCTGGTGACCTGACCTTTGACCTGACCAAAAAAGTGACCGAAGTGATTTCGTCATTATTTTTGGTGCTCTTTCGAACGCCGCCTTCCGCGTATCGCTACGTGGCCCAGGAGCCGAGTTAGAAGGGGGGTGTTCAAACACCCCCCCCCCCCCAGCAGGGCGTGGAAATCCAGGACCCCCAGCCGGGCGCGGGTTAAAAAGCAGACATTTGATCAACCGTCGAATCCAGTAGTTCTAAGCATAGGTAGGTGAAGACCCTCCCTTGCATTGTCCAAGATTGGTGAAGGATCCTTCGCCAATCTGAAACTTTGGTGAAAGGTATCCTTCACCAAAGAGATACGTTGCTACACCTATGGCCCTCTCTATTAGCCCTCGCCCGCACATGGGGGGGGGGGGTTGCCACCACCCCCCCAGGTAGTCTTTCTGCTCTGCACTCAACATTTTTAGAGCTAGGAGGCTGATTTTTCGTATAGCTGCTCCTCTATCCTTTCTTGATGTCCACTCAAAATTTCAAGTTTCTGTGGTTTTTGGTTTCGGAGATATGACCTTGTTTTTCAGGTCATGTCATGACCCAAATGGCCAATTCTCAACATCTTGCGTTGGCTATCGGCCTTGTGAGCTTTTGACACCTTGCTTTCGGCCTTTTTTGCCAGTCTTACCTCCCACCTATCATGGAACATGTTGTTCGACGATGTACAGATGTCAAGGTCAAGGTCAAGGTCAACCTAGTTCATCTAAGATAATTGCGTTTTGGGCAAGCGGAATTTACTTTTTGTGAAGTTTTTTGACTGCATTTTTGGTAAAAGCTTCTCAGACCATGATTTCATGTGATATGGACACATAAACAATCGGTGCACACATCAATATACACACAGACACACACAGACATACAAACACATATAATTGACCTTGACCTAACTTGACCTGAAATGACCTCAGCAGCAAAAACCTGGTCGGGTAGTGTGACAAAGAGGTTCTAGCTGGCTTGGCACCAGAAAACGGCATCGTCATCGGTATATGATAAGCAGCGCACTTGATATCCAACGGTGACCCAAAACAGCAACATTTTTTTAGTTTGACCTGACCTGGAAGGTCAATGACTGACCT